AGCCAGGCTTGATGAGGAGGCCTTCCGCTATGCTCAAGCAGGGTAAAGTTGTTTAAGCAGCTAGCCAGGTGTGCAGTGCAAAAAGCTTAGCGCAGGGTGGTGGAGGTTGTGTTGTGTACAAGCAGCATTTAATAAACTCTGTTGCTGAATTAGTTCACATTGCGTTATGTTCCTGAGGAAGTTGAGCTGCAAAGAGGAAGTTGTTTAACGCTGCAGCCACCTAGACCATTGTCATTGCACTCTCGATTTATCCCATCCCAGGTCCAAAGTACCTCGCTGATGAGCCCCCTGCATTTATCACAAATGATCTATTCAAAGTCTAACTTCTTTGCATTCTACATCATGCTCAGGTTGTTGGCTGAGGAGGAGGATAAAATGAAGGCTCTGATGAACCTGCAGGAGGAACAGGAGGAGTACATTGCGAAGACACAGAGGGAGAAGCAGGAGCTGAAGCAGGAAATGGAGGCCAAATCCCGGGCCCTGGAGGAGGCGCAGAGACAGCTGGAGGAGGTTCGAGCCAACCGGCACAGAGTTGACCAGGACGTTGTGGTAGGTAGAAACCCTGACACTGACCGTGTAACTCAGTTACAGCATGTTATCGAAGCTAATACCCCTCAGGCCTCAGGCCCCTAATACCACTGCAGACCCCCTGAACATGGAAAAAAAGAAGTGAGCTTCTGCTGCTTGTCGTTTTTAAATAAATCACCACAGAATGTGTCGATGAGATCAGCGAGAGGCTGTCCTGTCGCAAGAGTCACTGACAATCTGACACCAAACCAATAAACAGAAGTTAAGTTCAAAATAGGCGCTTAAAACAACACACGAAAGCATCTCACGAGCTACAAAAAAACAACCACCCGCCCATCACAGTCCCTAGTCATCAGATAAAGTTAGATAACCAGGAAGTGCTGCAAGTATAACTTTGAAATTCATAATGATAAGACAGGATGCCAGATGGCAGAGACTTTAATGAGACTAAACAGACTGCCATCGTGATCAGTCCCTCAAAAGCACATCAGTTATGAACAGGATTCAAACAGGACACCATTTTTTTCTCTTGTTGAGTGGTGGCTACTCTGTCTTTTTATTACTTTCATTATATTTGATTTTATTTGACAAAATCTGGCCTTGAGAGTGGCAGTAGTGAACCTTAACCTTATTGAGATGCAAAGTTTAACTTTTTAATAAATTGACCAGTTTTAGTGGTTAAAATACCAGCAGCACTTTGTTTATTTATCAGGTCACAGACAAAGAGCAAAAAGGAAGCGAGCTCACGTCTTAGTGGCTCTTCTGGGTACTTTTCAACAGACCGAGGTTTTTGGGAAGCGTTTGTCAGTTCACTTGTTTATCAGTAGCCGCTAAGCTCTTCTTCTCCGGCAGGCCGCCCAGAGGAAACTTCGGCAGGCGAGCACCAACGTCAAACACTGGAATGTCCAGATGAACAGACTGATGCGGCCGATCGGACCTGGCGGTATGTGTCCTTGCCTGCTCAGAGACATGACAGACATGCACCGTTTCAAGACCAGATTTTCAAATGTGTCTCGCTGCATTATACCAGCAGAGAAGTGTTAACCACTTCTAGCCCTGTTGTGCTGCAGCCAGGACTGATGTGACCATTTGCTTAGCTCAGGGGCTGTGAAGTTTAGGTCAAAATAGGTGGTTCATATATTTCATTTTGAACTTCTGCAAATATACTTCCTTAAATTCGATACTATACTTTATTTTAACTGTGAATTCTGTTTTTATTTTTGGTTTTTGTTTCAGCCTAAGTCTGATTTCAGTTGTCCGCTTTGTTGTTTTCATTTTCAGAGAAGAGACCATCGCTGGGAAGCTCCTTCACGAGCTTCCAGATCCCAACGCAGCGAGACCCCGGGCTGCGTCTCAGGAGTTCGGGATCGGGGGATCGGGAGGAGAGCAAAGAAAATGTTGACAGCAGAGCTGGATGTGATTTAGACAAACGTCACTCTCATGCATCTAATGGCGACATGGATATCCCCTAAAATGATGAGTCATAGAGGCTGCCTCGTCACAGGAAGGGCAAGAGATGGTTGTCATGTTTGTGAACAATATGAAAGCGGCGGGGATATAGCTGAATTTACCGTACTACCACGTCTACTAAATGCTGAAATATTACTGACCTCGTATCACAGACAGCAACAGTTTAAAAACATTTTAACGAGAGTGCGTTTTCCAATATCTCCCCTTCTCAAATAATCCTTTTCTGCCGCCTGTGTGAGGCCTGACGTGAACGTAACTGATACCTCAGCGGAAAGAAAATGAGCGGTAAGAAAGATCCTGAAAGTACAAGGTTAGCTCTGGTGTTCAAAGAGAAAAGCCTACACGCACACAGGAAGCTCATTTTTGTGCAGCTCTGTAACTTAGACGGATACCAATGTTTCATTTCTATTGGCACAATTTTCGAGGTTGTGGGAGGTGGCTTAGGTTTTTTTGATCTAGAAACTTGGTTCAGTATTAAAGTTTACCACAATTTCACTCCTCATAAACAGGAAAGAGAAAGAAGAGGCGTGAAAGAAAAAAAAAAACTGTCATGACCTTCCTGTTTTTAATGTCATTTAACATTACTGTAAATAAAGAGAGTGAAGTTTGAAGCCGTACCTGCATCTTTACTGTGTTAAACTTAGTGCATTGTGCAATTCAAAGAAACTTTAAGGCAACTTTTTGTTTCAAATCTTAAGCTGGTGCTTCACACAGTGGAAAAGCTAAATAAGAGTTTGCAAAACAAGTTGTAGTGACGCAGACGTGACAGAAATGCAAAAGACCACACGGAGTGGAAGTAAGAGTCGCAGACACTGCTGAAGTTGCACACTGCACATCCGCTTCGGTTTGAGTTTGTCTGCTTCACTTCTGAGGCCTTAAATGTGTCATCTCCGACTAATCTGACGCCTTCCGGGGACAAAACCTTCAGCTGGCTCACATGAGCAAACAGAGACATCCCCTGACAGGTAATGCAAACTGCAGGCCAACTGCTGTATGTGCCAGTGTACTAATGCACAGTTTTAATCAGAGGTGGCAACAAGTAGAAGCACAGATAGTAGTTTTGAAACATACTCCAGTAAAGTACTGTTTCCAAGTCTTTACTCAAGTAAAAGTGGAAAAGTACTGGCTCTGAAATATTCTCAAAGTAAGCGAGTAAAAAGCAGCTCTTTGAAGAACATTTCTTCCACCTACTTTTGTGCACATCTTACTGAACCCTGTGCTATATTAATGTAATAATGAAATAATATTAGTAGATAGGAAAACCAGCTTTATTTCTGTTAAAATGTTATTTCTAATAAAGGCTCGGCTTGAATCAGTTAAGAAGAACACAAGCAGAGAAAAAATGAGGCTGTGATCTGCTTACCTGTGCTGCTGCAGCTGCCCTGAGGTTTACTGCGCCTTGTGGATTTACACACCTGAATTTCATGAGTTGTCCTGGCTGATTTCCATCCTCTACTGACAGTACACTGTTTAATCTTCCAGTTTATCAAACACCACTGAGCTTGTGTGTTTGCTGTTGTTTGTTAATCGGATAGAAAAATTGCATTTGAAATTACCTGCCACTTAAAAAAAATATTACTCGTTTTATGTTCGCTCCTTTTTTGCAGGGCCGGAAGTACAACAACCGCAACTTATGGACAGCCTCAGTCGTGTTGTGCCAAAAAATAAATAAATAACTGAAAATACCAGCCCAGTTTAACCTCCGACTTTGGGACACAGTTTTGCTTGTTTCCTCTCTTTTTGTGCCACATACCCTGGTGATTATTACACGAACAGGACTGCCTTTCATGTGTTACTGTTTAGACCCGGTTTGATGTTTAAAGGCCCACGCTGACGAAATAATAACTCTCTTCAAATGCCTTAAACCAAAAGTAACAAGTAGAAAGTACCGATAATGGTTTAAAAATGTAGGAAGTTAAAGTAAAATGTTGCCAAAAGGTTGCACAGTGAGAGCAATTGATGACTATTTTATGGTTGTTTTTTTTATTTTCAATTTTTGAATAATCACTCTAATATTTTCCTAATATTAGATTTGCCTGATAGTTGTTTATTTAAACAACAGTTAATTTAGAGATATCATCTATATAAAATCTCTCTTCACTGCAGTTTCTGGTGAGCAAAATCTAAGCTGTGTCTCTCATTTGGCATACAGCGCTAAATGGAAGCTTGTTTCTGCATAAAAAACTGCTTTGTTTTCTGTTTTTGCTTTTTTGGGCAAAATTTGGAGTTATTCCTTAGATACTTTGTGATTTCTCACTCATTTTTTTTCAGATAGTAACCCCAAACTCGACATTTTGAATTCATAACCCCCCAAACTGACAAAAATAAAATAAATAAATAAATAATGAATAAAATAAATCTGTGGCAGAAACAAGCTTCCGAAACAGCTGATGAGACAACCTATTTTTCTTATGAGTGCTACATTTTTAAGCAGTGTCAGCTGAGAGGAGAAATAAGCTGCTACCCTCCCTCCTTGTATATTATGTCGTTCTTAATATTAGATGTTGCCTTAATGTTTATTTGAACAGAAATTAATTTAGAAATATAAACCAACGAAAAATAAAACCTCTTCTTCGATACATGGTCACTTACGGTTTCTCGTAAAGTTGATTATATATGTATAAACTAGTTGTAAGGCATGTTTATTTCCTCAAAGGCTCTTTAATTGGTAGTGGAGAGTAACAATAGCCCATTTCATTCAGATTCAAAAGCGTGCAGCCCAGTTCAGTCTCTACAGCTATAAATCGCACATTTTCCCACACGGATTTCAGCCACGTGCTCTTTGTGTGCCTCCATTAAGGCAGATGCGGTCAATGTCAGTCAAAGCTGAATATATGTCCATGTCAAAAACAACTCAACCGAGACCTTGACTCTTCTGTTTGCAGTAGTTACATCCAGTCGGTTGTGCGCTCTGTGTGTATGTGTGCAGCGGGGGCGCTGTGCTGTGGCATGTGACGAGGGAGAAGGAGGGGGAGGAGAGAGGGGAGTGAAGCAAACCAAACCAAAGCAGAGTAAAAGCAAAGCCAGGGATAGACTCGGGGAGGGATTACTAGTTAACTCCGCTTATTCGCATGTGACATGGTAGCCCACAAAGATTTCCACATTGTTTTTCCCGTCTCGTCAGCCCGGTTTCTACATGGACGGAGGCCTGACTCGGTCTAAGTTTATAGTAGTTAGCTTACAGCAAGAGCTAACGTCAGATCGCTAACTCCAGCTTCAAGCAAACAAACTTGTCAACAGCCGATCGATCCGGGACGGGACTCGGGACTGCTTTTGTGGCTTGTTTACCTCAGCCGGGAGGCATAAACATCTTCTGAAGCAGCAGCACAACCGGGAGAGGTAAGTTAACCTGGTAGGATAGCTAACGTGATTTAAAGGCACAAACGGGAATTTGGGTCAGCCGTGCTAACGGCTAGCTGATAGTAGGACTCAGTCACAATTCAAGGTAGTGGCTAACTAGCTGCTAACCGAGCCGACGGCTGAACGAGCTCAGTTTTAAAGCCTATACAGTTTAAACTTTAAGTGAGATAAGAAAGTTTGGCGGCAGCCATGTCTGTAACTCGGTTGTCCTTTCATTTTTCAAACGCTTGTATCCAGTTACAGTCCTGTCAGTGACTCATGCAGTTACACGGTAATGTTAGCAGAGACTTCCGAGAACCAGTGTGACAGGTTGTCTACTGGACAAGTCCTAACACCCCTAATTTGGTGTTAAGCATTATGAAAACAGCGCGTAGCCTTTGAATTACAATGAGTGTGTCCTTTATGGAAAACAACAACAACATTTATTTCTAATATGTAAACACTGTAGCTGTTTGTTAAGGCACAGCTACAAACAAGGACTTTTTAATCCGCTAGAGGGCCCCGGGGTAGAAAAAAAATTGTAACCCTCAACCCAAAGCCCTCTCCCCCACCGCCTCCATCAGCAAGCTGCACTGCTCAGTGTGTACATAGTGCATGCACCCTGTTCCTTTAAAAGCAGCCGCCAAATACCCCCCGCACCCCATCGCAAGTGAGGCAAACAATAATACAGATGTCTTCAAGCTCGGTTAGAGGTAAAGTTAGTGCCCTTACTATTACGATCTACTGGCTGAACTGTGCTGGAAATGCGGTGGGCCCTTATTTTGATTAAAAGTGATGCAGCCGTTGTGAAATTCTTGCTTTTGTTATGTTCCAGGGGCAAAATAAATGAATATTCATTATGAAACTGAAGATTTTGAAAGTAGTATTTCAGCTTCTTTTTTTCCACACCGGTGCACAAATTGATAGATACTCTATCCCGCAATGAAAATCATTGTGTTGCAGCTGCATAAAGAATAGATAATCTCCATATAATCTACTATAAAAAATAACTTTGTTAAAGGTACCACAGGCATATACTAAACATCTTATTATGTGAAGTAATGCAAAATTTTACATATATATGTGTGTGTGTGTGTTATTAGGCAAATGATACTTGTAGTAGAAAGTGTTTTGAGGGCTCAAATTAAGTAGAAAGGCACTATATGAGTGGCAGTCCTTTTGCCATCTGGAGGAGGAAAAAAATCTGCTGAAGAGGCTACCCGCTGTGGCAACTTATTATGAATAAGGGAGAAGCTGAAAGTAGCTTTTTGCTTTGAACTTACAGTGGTTACCAAAGAGGTTTTGACCTTCCAATAAAGGGAAAGCTCGCAGGACTGTGATTTTTAACATGTTTATTCAAGTGGTGTTTGATTTTTCTTTATTTAAAAATACATTTTTGGTTCATAAAAAGGCCAAAAGATAACAGGAAAATGCAGGTAACAGAAAACTTTTCGTCGGAACTATTTGCAGACCACTTGTCCTTATGTGCACAGTCCACCCTTTTTGAGCCAGGAAAACCCCTGTTTAAGTGTGACTGTTAGACACGGCTTCGTTCTACATGCTGCTAACTAATATGTAATTACTGAGTAATACTGAGATGGCATCTCTGGATGTATGTACAGGCTTTTCTGGACAGTGCTGCAAATAAGCAAATCAATCTTTCATTTATAATAAAGTATTTAAATCTAACCGAACCTAGCAACAGTTACCCCAAACAGTGTCTGTGTTAATATTCCTGTAAAGTGCTCTGTGATGTTTTAAATCAGGATTGAAAATGTAGATATATCCTTATTATTGTCTTGTCTGTCTGTTCCGTTGGCTTTGAAGTAACTGAGGCGTGATTCCATAACATCTGTGTCTCAGGTCATGAGCTTATTTCTTTAAAAGACATTCCCTGGCTGTTATAACAAAACCTAACTGACTGAAAGGCACCTAAACAAACTCTGTTGAAGATTACTGAACAGCATTCATCTCATTTATTATTGCTATACTAAACTGAATACAAGACTTATGTGAGTTTCACCCGTGTGCTTATTTAAAAAAAAAATAGGGCTCTATTTTGGCTTTGCTGGTTTGTTATGGCAAGCTGAAACTGGACTCTTAACCGCTGGCATGCTGGATTAAATGGAACCCTTGATGATATGTGGGCTCTAAAGTGTGATTAGCTATTCTTTCTAGTTGTGTAAATAAACCTCATGTTAACAGATATATTTTTTTAGTAAGGTGTATTTCAAGTAGATTGATTCTGTTTTTAAATAGTGCAACTATGGTGGCTACGTGACAGGAGATGAGCTGCTGAATCAGCTGCAACAGGAACCATGGACGGGTTTCAACAAACTGCCCCAGAGGAGCATGACGGGGTGAACGGCTACTGTGAGCCAAAGTGCCCCCAGGACGCAGCTGACGTCAGGTGGACGCCACCGCAGGCAGAGTCTGTAGGCTCGGACAGTTGTGGTGCGACAAGCGTCTCCGAGGTGGCAGATCTGAAAGAGTTAAAGCGCAGGGAGAGTGAAGATGAGGAGGAGAAGGAGGAGAAGGAGGTAGTCCCTGCTTCTAAATACCCGAAAAGGGACCAGAAGAAGAGACGGAAAGAAGGGGAAGATCAGGAGAACGGTGGCAACAAGCAAAACAGCAGCGCATCATCGAGCTACACAGGTAAGACTTTCCACTCTCTGAAATTTTCACAAGATGTACTTGAACTGAAATGCTATTATTTTTTGTTATATGCAGACCTGTCCCATACCTCATCACCTTCGCTCTCAGAACAGCTGCGTTTGGGCCAAGAGGACAGCACAAGCTCCGGGATCAGTGTGGAGTGTAAGGTCTGCGGGGACAAGGCCTCTGGCTTCCACTACGGCGTACATGCCTGTGAAGGATGCAAGGTAAAACATTTTTTCTTTTACCCACAACAGATTATTGAGTGGGAAGTTCTGTGCCCCCCCACCCCACTTTGTGAGTTGCTTAACTAGATGTGCTTTGCTTTGTGCAGGGCTTTTTCCGGCGTACTGTGCGGATGAAACTGGAATATGAGCGCTGTGAGCGTTCCTGCAAGATTCAGAAGAAAAATCGTAACAAGTGCCAATATTGTCGCTTCCAGAAGTGCCTGTCTTTGGGAATGTCCCACGATGGTGAGGGCTTAAGTGTTTTCTGAGATTCACTTAAAATACTAAGATGATGATCAGTTTATTTGTATAGCAGTTTTTAAAACACAGTTACAAAGTGCTTCACTGTTTGAGTAAAACCGCACATTAAAGATAACTGTGCATGTCCAGTCATAGAAATGTAAAGTCAAACATGTGGTCATGCATTCATTCTTGCATGTGCACTTCTATACACGCATTAGAAGAACAAGAGCCAAAAATAATGGGCAGTTGTTTAAAACCACAGATTCAGCCAACCTGATGTGCTGACGAAGGCTGTTCTAGAGTTTAGGGGAGACAGCCTCAAAAGTGTGGTCATCACTAGCTTTAAAATAAGAGCATGGATCAGTTAAAAGACCCGGATGAGACGATCAGAAAGGCCAACTGCTGGAATAAGCTGTCATCATATCTGCTACACAGGAATGAGTCTGGCCATGTAGGACGTTATATGCTAGTAATAAAATCTTAAAATGAATTTGAATTTCACCTGAAGCCAGTCTACCTTCTATGTTCTTGACCAGCTGAAGATGGGCTGCCTGAGAGATCCAAGAGTTTTATAGTGTCTAAAGGAGGAAACAAATCTGCTGTTTTCATGTCAAAGCCTTTCCAATCTTTTGTAGCACATGGATGGTGTGTTGCATTGTTAATGCTCTGAGTTGTTCCAAAACACAAAGAGGTTTCAGAACTCATTAGTGTTGCAAATATCCTCTCAGAGTAACACCGTCTCTGTGGGTGTTTTTGCTCAGCAATCAGATATGGACGAATGCCTGAGGCGGAGAGGAAGAAGCTGGTGGCAGGCATACTCGCAGAGGAGCTGGACGTCAGCAAACCAGGTGGCTCAGACCTGAAGACTTTAGCCAAACAAGTCAATACAGCCTACCTGAAGAACCTCAGTATGACCAAGAAGAGAGCCCGCAGCATCTTGATGGGCAAAACCAGCAGCACCTCAGTATGTTCCTGTCTTTCAGCCGTGCTTGGCTTTATGCAAAACTCAGTTATGTGAATTTTTCCCTCAGACCTTTCTCCCTTTAATGCATTTTCCTTTTAGCCATTTGTGATCTACGATGTGGACACCCTCTGGAAAGCAGAGAGTGGTTTGGTGTGGAGCCAGTTAACTCCAGGTGCGCCTCTGGCCAAGGAGATTGGGGTTCATGTGTTCTACCGCTGTCAGTGCACCACGGTGGAGACCGTGCGAGAGCTTACAGAGTTTGCCAAGTGCATTCCAGGGTTTGTGGACCTCTTCCTTAATGACCAGGTAAGCCGCTGTCTCATATAACAAAGAATTATTAGTATATCCAAGTTTAGGAAAGCACAAATAAACAGCTGTTTGTGTGCTTACTGCAGGTGACTTTGTTAAAGTATGGTGTGCACGAGGCTATTTTTGCCATGCTGCCATCTCTCATGAACAAAGATGGACTGTTGGTGGCCAATGGCAAAGGCTTTGTGACACGGGAGTTTCTGCGCAGCTTACGGAAGCCCTTCAGTGAGATCATGGAGCCAAAGTTTGAGTTTGCTGTTAAGTTCAATGCTCTGGAGCTGGATGACAGTGATCTGGCCTTGTTTGTTGCTGCCATTATTCTCTGTGGAGGTGAGCCTGAGCAGCTTTCTGGTCAAGTATGAAGATTCAAATCTTGTGAAGTGTGTCTGTAGCTCTTGAAACCTCTTTGAAAGTGCTGCATTGAAACTGTTAGAAGGTACAATCAAGGTTCGAGTCTTATAGCATCCAGAAAAAGATAAGACAGTGATTTAGAAGTAATCACTGAGCCTGTAGCGGCACAACTAAGGGGTTGTTCAGCTGATCCAGTTGTAACTATAAGCTTTGTCCTAGAGCAATGTTTTAAGGCTAATCTTAAAAGTAGAGAGGGTGTCTGTTTTCGGGGCTGGTTCCACCAGAAAGAAATTGTCTATAACCAGCCACATAACAGCTACTGGTTATCTATCATGTTGCTACATGCCAGTAAGATTCTAAAACGGGTTTTAACTTGTCTTTGCATGTCTTGTTTGCCCAGCATAAATTGTGACTCATCACAGGCTTTTTCCTCTTTTTGCACTAGATCGTCCCGGGCTAATGAACGTGAAGCAGGTGGAGCAGAGTCAGGACAACATCCTCCAGGCCCTGGACCTTCACCTCCACGCAAATCACTCTGACTCTGTCTACCTCTTCCCAAAACTGCTTCAGAAGATGGCTGACCTCCGTCAGCTGGTTACAGAGAACGCTCAGCTCGTCCAAAAGATCAAAAAGACTGAGTCGGAGACCTCGCTCCACCCTCTACTACAGGAGATCTACAAGGACATGTATTAGCAGTCTCCAGCACAAACTGCTTTTAGCAATACTGTTACAGACTGAATTTTATAATGAAACACTGCATTCAGTACAAGCACTGTAGTACGGGATGGATTTCTAAGGTGCAGATGAGGCAAATTCACCTGGTAGTGCTAATACAATCAGCAGAGTCTTCGCAGTGTCAGCGTAACCCTCAGCACAGTTATGCGTGTGTTTGTGTGCGCGTGCATGTGACGAGCATCTGGAATCATTTGCTGCGAGTCCCAGTTTCCCACAACGGTCACGTAACAGGAAGAATGATATGTTTTCTCAATGAGGCTGCTCCTGTTTCATCCTGTTAGCGAAGCTGACCCCAGAGCAGTGTGCAGAGGGAGCTCATCCTCGCTCCCCTCAGCTCTGTGTTTGTGCTGCAAAGGGAAAGCATTTCACATTCTCACACCAGTGGCACCGTTCAAACAAACAAGTGATTGTATTGTGTTTTCAGACTTAACTGACGGGAGAGATGCAGCAGCTGGTATTTGTTTACATCATCATCTTCATCATTATCATCATCATCATTATCACTGACCACCACTTTGCCATTTGGTATAAAGAACACAAACTGGGCTGGCTCCAGCAGTGTAGAGCTCTCTCTTAATGCAGCAATGTGTGCAATACCATTTTGCCATTTGTCAATAAATGTGAGATCCAGTTTATTTAGGTTTTGTCTTAAAGCCATCTAGCCAAGTGTGAACTGTTGGACTGTGCTGCAAAGATTTTATTTCTGAATCTGACACTATACACGCATACATACATGACCCATTGAAGTACAAGGGACAGCATGTTTTCTTTCTTCCTTTTGATATCCAAAATATAATGAATTTACCATTTAAATATATTTGTTAGGTTATTCTTTGTAATTCTGTAACAAATTATTTGTAGTTTTTGATTGTATTTCTAAGGGCAAAACATGAATTTATCAACTTGTTTCATATATTAGTTCATATGTGTTCTTTCATATTACATGCCTGCCTGTTTTAGTTTTAGACTGTACCAAATATATCACCACGAATACCATCAAACCTCTCCCCAATGAGGAGTTTGGATTTTATGGTTTCATGTGCAGGAATTACCTTAAGCCAGCATTTTTAACCATGTCATTATTACTGGGATACTTGATGAAAAAAGAACATCTTCCAATATCGTAGGGTGCTTTTGTATTGGAGATAGACACGGTCCTAGATTAATGCTCTTTTTATGTACAGGCTGATGTGTCTTGAAAGGTGAGGCATAGAGTGTAAAAGCCTTGCGATACAGTAGCCAGGATCCAGACGTTTCTAATCATTTCTTCCCCTTTTCTGTTGTTACTGTCCCTGCTGGTGTGAGCACAGGTCTCCTCTTTTGCTCTTATTCTGTCTTGATCCCTATCTACCTCTAATGTATGATCTGTGACATTATTCCGCTGTCTCATCTAATCCTTGACATATATTATTTTTGCCTTAAATTCCTGCTACACATTGAAATCCTGATGTTACTGGCTGGTGTGCAGTGTGCCAAGTTGGCAAAGGAGCAATTACACCAAAAACAGAAAGGAAAAAGAAGAAGTTGATGTAAGCTACCTCTATGCCTGTGTAAGTGATGGACTGACATATTTGTTCAAAACTTGAAATGATTTCTTCTTAATGGTCACATGTAACCTATCTGCACGTTTAGTTTAGTGATTTCTCACTTATAAACTTGATTAGAAGCGGCAACGGTGATTTTCTCGGTTTATTTTTATTTTATTTTTTATTTTGTTGGAATTTTTTTTTATCATGAGGTGGATCATACAACTCTTTCAAGTTGCTCCCTGCTGTGATTGGCGTCCTTCAATAAACTCTCTGAATGGAGTGCGTAACGTGCTGACGTCAGCGTCACGTTTCTATTGGTTCGTTGCCAGGTTAATTGGTGCGAGGAACCAGCTGTCAACTATTTAGATAACGTGGATGGTGAAGGCTTGGCGGCGGCTCGTTCAAAACACACGGAGGATGGACTCGGCTCGTAGTGGAAACATTTGTCGGTAAGCAGCCCCTCACAGTCCCGCAGAGTGGGCTAGAAATGAGGAAAGTGTGGACCAGGCACCGAGAAATAGCTTGTCAGAGTTTAATGCCTTCGTGTGGCGTTCTAATATACGCGTTAAAGTGAAATAGTGACTTTTGATTACACCAATTTAGGAAGAAAGTGTGGTAGACCATGTTGCTGTGTGAGTACATTCGTACAAATTTTGTGTTGCTAGGTGACTAAATGTAATGTTGAAATGTTAGCCAAAACTTGAGCTAACTGAGTTAGTGGCTGTTGGTAAGTTGGATTTTACGACCGCACTTCTGTGTCGGATTTGGCCCTTCTCCGTCAGTTAATCCAGAAACGCGTCAGGAGACGATGATTATTATTGACAAATACGGTTTTTGAAGCTGTTTAATGATGTGCATATACAGTACCGATGTTGTTTCAACGTATAAAATTTTCGCTCTTTACTTTGTAATGTGTTCTGCAGTTGAGGCTCAAGTCAGATTATTTTTATTTTTTACTACGTCAAAAAAAATTAAAATAAAAAAAATTGGTTAATGTCAGGCAGGGCTTTCAGTCTCTCTCCCACCTGTAAGAATTTACTAAACTATAAAAACGGCTCGACTACTCTTTTCAGCTTCTTCCTTTAGGCTTGGCCAGAGCAGCTCACTCACATGTCCAAACATCTCATCCTTGCTTCTCAAACTTTGTCTCCAAACACCTCAGCCTGAGCTGTCTGATCCACTCCTAATCCTATACTTTCTGGTTACACTCAATAAAAATCTGAGCATCTTCACTTATAAAGAATAAAATACCAGCGGCTTATCGTTATGAACTTGCATTCTAAATAACCCTGTAAACACTAGCAGTCATCACAGTTCAAATCACTGGAGCGGCATGTAAAACCAATCTTGCTACTTAAAAAAAAAAAAGGTTTGTGGCAGAAATTTACTTTGAATTTGTGGTTTTCACCTCATTGCAGGCGTTTCATAAATGGCTCTTGCAGATTTGGTTCAAGATGCAATTATCGTCATGAATGGCCAACCATACACTCATCCCAAATATGTCGGTATTATCAGAAAGGTGGATGCTGGTATGGTGAGCGCTGCAGGTAAGCTCCCCCCTCCCCCCGTTTATTATTTAAGAAAATCCATCATTTAATCCCTTATTCTTTTCTCTGCTAGGTTTTTCCATGTTCTTCAGTCTGAAGCTGGCACAACTGTTGCAGGAAGAAGGGCTTCAGTACCTACGGTCTCCTCCTCCAGTGTGGCTCACGCGTCACCTGATAGGCGAGGGTCAGAACCTGCAGTTCTGCAAGCTGAGGTGACATCTGAACAAGAGTGCAGCAGATCAGAGTTGGCAGCTGATACCTCAAACCCTCAATGCGACACTGGGCACCTGCCAGCGAATATCGCTGAGGAGCAGTCAGAAGGTATTGCATGATTTTGTAGATGGAACTGAACGTAGAAGTTGATCTAATTAATTTGCTTTTCCTCTACAGAATCTGGTCTGGGATCGTCTCAAAGCTCAGAAGCTGCTGAAGCAGGTGCCTGCGATGGAAGAAATGAGGTTTGCATTTAATTTGACTGCGTCATCTTAAGCATGCTCATTCAGCAGGAGAACTTGGCTGAACCCAAAGCCTTCTATTAATGTTCAGGAGATCTCCCCATCTGAAACCCCAGAGAATGGGGCTGCCGCTGCAGCTTCTGGTTCTCAGGGAAGGGAGGAGGAAACTGAGGCCTTCCTCAGGAGCAAAGACGTGACCTGTGGGATCTGCATGGACAAAGTGTATGAAAAGACTGATCTGAAAAGCGGTGTCTTTGGCATCTTGCCCAACTGCAATCACTCCTTCTGTTTACAATGCATAATGACCTGGAGGAAGACCAAAGACCTCGGCCTGGATGTGATAAAGTAGGTTTCTGTAATATTTAAGAGGCAGCAGGATCTGACAAAACCAGAGGGCTTGAAGTGATTCTGATTGACTTTTTCCCTCTTCTCAGACGCTGCCCACAGTGTCGCGTGAGGTCTGCCTTTTATGTGCCGCACAAATACTGGGTTGAAGGACAAGAAAAGGAAGATCTAATTACTGAGTTCAAGCAAAAATTCAGGTGAGGAATAGATCTCATGTCTGCAGAGTTTAGAAAATCCTTTGAGTCTGTCTTCCTGGGTATGTTGTGTAGATGTTAGTTTCAATAGTCCAGCCTTTTCTTCAGATTTCTTACTATAGATTTAAAAAAAAAAATTATATAGTGAGTCTTGCTGTAGATTAAGGTTCCTGAATTAAACTACTCATCTAAATCCTTTGGTTAGGCCAGGGGTGTCAAACTCAAATACACAGTGGGCCAAAATTCAAAACTGGAACAAGGTCGCGGGCTAACGTTAATATTTAAAAAAAAAAATCTTCCTCCAGATATAAGAATGAATCTTTTCTTATGGACTCAAACAAGTTTTGCTGGAAAACTGAATATGGAACAAGCAAAGCTTAATACTAAACAATATATATTAGCTGTATAATACCAGTAGGCCAGCTCTAACAGTAATTTGGTATGGCTTCGCGGGCCAAATGTAATTAGGCTGCGGGCCAAATTTGGCCCGCGGTCCAGAGTTTGACACCTATGGGTTAGGCCATGGTAACTTGGTCCAAAGTTGCTTTCTAAAGGTTTGTTTTGTTTTTAAATAAATATACTCCTCCCAATAAATTGAATCTCTTGAGCTGCTACAGATCTCCCATTCAGCAAAAACTTGCTTTTGTTTTTGCTTATTGCGCCTTTAAGTCCCTTTACCATTAGTACGTACTCGACTCGGCACAGTTCACCAGTTTTCAAGATTTTCATTAGGTCATAGGTCATTCTGATATTAACAGTATGGAGTGTGCAGCAGATGTCATATCTAAGGAAGAGTACTGAAACACAGGTGTGTAGCATTGCTAACTAATTAACAATGGGAGCTACAGAGTGAATCATTCAGCACAGATTTTTACAACATGGCAATTAGAATCAAATTTATGCAAAAGGAACAGAAATCAGTGTGAAGAGAAGTAATGATGAAAAATTTAGCAAAGGAGAACTCTAGGTATTAATTGAAAGGGGATCTATAATGCTGATGCACAACAAATTAAATATGCATATACTGCTCAAAGCCCTGTGCATATTTCACTTAAATCACAATATTTTTTTAGATTTTAAAATTGCTTGTCATCTCAAGCCAGTATAAACATTTAACTGACCCCTCCCTGCTGCCTCTCGTTTGATTCCAGTAAGAAATCCTGCACCTACTACTCTCGATACCAATGCTGCCCCTTCAAAAGCGAGTGCCTTTACCGACATGACAAAAGTCGACACAGCGCGTCCTTTCTGGTAACTACATGGTGATCCGTGAGTGTTTTACGTTCTCCTCCCTCTTAGTGTGTCTAAGATAAGGTTGTATTTACTCTCCCCTCACTCTCTTTGTCCTTGCAGCATTTTGGAGAAGATGACTTTGAGGATGAAGATGATGGAGTGGATCTAATTAGTTTCTTCATAGCCATGACCCTTCTTGGTGATGATGATGACGACCTTGAATTTACTTTTTTACCTTACTAAAACAGTGTAGTTTGAGTGCTCATCTCCCTCCCCCTTTCTTTTATTTTTTTTTTCCTTTTTTGGTCAGTGTTTGAAACCACTGAATGGGGTCTATAACCATCATTGGTCCCTGGAAAATGCATGGCTGCTGCCTTTTTTCTTTTTCTTTTTTTTTTCTTCTTCTTTCCTTTTTAAAAACCACCTGTGTCTTCATGAAATTATTACTGAAACAGCCTACCAGTAGCTTAGACTCAGGATCATCGAGTGGAAAGTACATCTCACTTAAAGGACTCCTAAATTCAGACAGGAACCTGTCTCCAAGTCTGTGCACACTTGGACACTCCAGAACTCATGGCTAGTGGTCTCAGCGTAAGACACCTTTGTTTCTAGTTGGGGTTTATAATTTTTTTTTTTTTAAAAATACTACAGCTGTTATGTGTTTAGCCAACTGTCAGCTTCTCTTCCAACTTCTGAGCGTGCCAATGTAGACATTTCCCTAGTAGCTTGGGCCATTTAGATATTTTTAAAGTGTTATGTCGATGGTAGTTTTAATTGCCCAAGGGTTAAAAAAAAAAAAAAAAGTGTACTGTCCTAATATCTGATATCTGTATAAAAATGATTAGTTGTCACACACCTCCCAGTTTTGGCAAGAACAAATGATTTTATGTCTTTTTTTTTCTTTTCTTTTTTTTAACCAAATTGTACCTGTACACAAAAAATAAAACATTGATTCACTTTGTCTCACTAAAGTGTTTTCTTCATTGGTGCTGTGCTATTCGGGGCATTTCCCTGAATGGTATGCCCACATGGCCTGGGGGTCAGGATGTGCCTAAATCACACCATACAATGAATTCACGTAATGGATTTTCATTAAAAAAAAAAAGTAATTAAATATGGGCTAGTTGGGCTAGTTGGACGAGTCTAACCTTTAAGCAAACAAAGTATTTATCTATGCTGTTGAGTAGCTCCACTGTGGTCTCCAAATAAAAACTTAAAGTGGAAACGACTGAGACATGATGGCAATCTCGCTTCGGTTGCCTCAGGATGCTCGTTCTATTCAGGAATTTCTGGCTTTTGTTTATCTAGTATACGCCGCAGGATAAATCGTGCTGTGTCGCCAGTGAGCTGAATGAATGGCACATCTGACCACTAGGTGGCGATGTTGAACTCCGCCCTTTACCGGTGTCGAAGAAGAAATGTAAACAGCAGTGGCGGTATAGTGAGGCTGGGATGGAGCCACAGGTGTCTGGGAGAGACGGCAAGGACAAACCCGGAGATGGGGCACACAGCTGTCTGAACTCCGGCATGTTTCTTAGCGGATTTGACGGGCAGTCGAGGCTGCTGCTTCGGTCACTGATGTCCGGAACCTCCGGGGCCTCGAGAGCGCTGGGCGTCTTCCACAGGCAGCAACGGGCTAACCCCGATAGCTCACTGTGTGGCTTCATAGAAACACTGTGCAGAGACGAAATAACCCACACCGAGGCAGACACTGAGTTTCTAACCATGTGAGTAAAGTACACAGAAAAAAACAGTGTAGAGTTAGTTTAGTATTCACATAGATATTCTAGGGTACACACACGTGTGAAAAGTAGGGTAAAGATCAAATCAGTTTTTCCTAACCTCTTTTGTTTTAGATCTGGGGTCCTTTGCCACATTTCCTTGCTTTTATTGCAGTCTGATTAAGAAAAATTCACAAAATTCCTTTCTAAGAAGTCCCTTTAATCAGCATTTAGCAAGCACAAATCTCCCCCAAAATGATTTACATTTGTGAAAAAAAGTGTCATAAATACTGATAGTCACAAATCAGTTTTATGTTTTTTTCTAACTCCTGCTTTTTTCTTAAACATGAACTTTTTCTTTGTCTACACAACTTCAGAGACCAGCTGACGGTTTCTTTGGTTTTTCCTTACCTCTTCTAGTAAACCACTAGTCTGCCTGTTTCCACCTTTATTTAAACAAAACCTGCTGTCATTCATCCACCTGGTGCACTCTGTTCTTCCTCGGACCGCTGTACTCCATCTGATCAAATGTCTCAGCCAGGACTCTCGTCCAAACCCGTGGGTGACTGCTCTGTGCAGACAACTCGAAAGAGACCTGGAAACCCACCGTGAGGTGCCTCTGTACACCACACCGTGCAGCCAAAGACTAAAGGAGCTCTCCCAGGGTTTGATCGGATCTGCTGAAACTGGAGGATGGACCAAGTGCTTCAGTGGTCAAACGGCAGAATTTGAATCCCAGAGTACATCTGATTTATCTGAGCTGGGGACACAGAGGAAGAGAAAGGGCAGTTTTGTCAGCGTGGGGTCTGATGGTGAAGAAACGGGATCACAGAGTAAACGGATAAAGATGGATGATAATGAGTGTGTCACAGCTGAAGAACTGAGAGTTCCCAAGGAAATGTCGGGAGCGCCAGAAAGTGATGTTGCAGCAGAAACTCCAGCCTCAGACAGTTCGTGTGGTGGCCTGCCTGAACAGATAAAGGTAAAAACCACTATACAAAGAAGGGTACCCTCTCCACACTGAAATCTTTCTGCCAATTTCAATGTTTGTTTTGTCCTTAGAGAAGCAGAAGTTGTAAAACGATGAGCTGATTTACTGTTTTTGTGTTTATTAGGTCTGTATTCCTCAGATAAAAGAGTTGTTGGAGAGTCAGACGGAGGTAAGAAGATTTTATTTTCTTCTAGCTCATTCAGTGCAGACAGTAAGTGACATTTAGTCTCACTGTCATTCTTTTTGTGTGTTTCAGTGGGACCAGAGCTCCACAGATGTGTTCAAAGTGCTGAACAACTGTGACTCAAACCAAGTATGTCCTCAATAATTTAACCTGCGCTTTTACTTCGAAAACGGGTGGATTTGACTTAAATTACAAAATAAAACTATTCAACAAGATAGAAACTGTCGATTAAAGTGCAAAAGAGCTGTTTTCACACATTTCCATGAAACCAGTTGCTTTTTGCAACCCGAAGAGTCGCCCCCTGCTGTTCATTAAAAAGAATGAAGGTGTAGGGCAATCTTTTAAATCTGTTATACTATTTAAAATCCTTAGGGCTGAGCTGAGGGTGTATCTTAAGCACACACTCCTATAAACAAGATCATATTTATAGGAGGAATAAAAGATATTTAATATAGGACGTGGTTGGGACCATTAAGTGAGTATCAGAGGCATTTTCTTATTGGTCTCTGTTGGGTTCCAGAGAATAGATCAATATTTTATGTATAATCTGCAGTTGTGATTGGACTGAACCCAGGTCCTTACCTGCCCTGTTTAGGTGGAGGTGTTATGCAGCATGCTGAATTTGCCGGGCTTACCTGACCAGGCGCTGCCTAAACTGTGCAGCAGTGTTTTGGCCCTCTCTCCTGACCTCAGCTACAGCACTGCTGCAACGCTCATCAAGAGCCTTCTGCTGGAGAAGGTATAACACCGAATATGAAAAATAAGCAACATGTGTTGCTGTGTTTCATCTTGACAGAATATTGTTTCACCTTACAGGTGCTGTCCCTGTCAGAGCCGGCCTCCAGGTGTCTGGTTACCGCAGTGACATCACTGTGTAGCCGCTATCCCAGACCAGTGTGCCAGGCTCTAATCGGACCAGTACTAGAGAAAGAGAACATAGGTGAGATGAAAGGAAAACGTTTCACTGAAAGTGACTACAGAAATGACTTAATGATGTCCTTCATTCGGGTTTGTGATCTTGGTCAGATGCTAAGATGGTATGTGATTTAATAAGGTCTGGTGTTTACAAGCACTCAGTTAAAGCAGTGTGACATGTGCAAAAGTGATAAATAGGTCCTGCACTTTTCTTAATACTGTGATGCAACATGTCAATCAGTTTTTCTGCAAAGTGCATCACTTCACCATCTCCACCAGCCTGACCAGTTGATACGAGACAGGATGGATCCGTGTTTTCATGTTGTTTACACCAAATTCTCCCCCTACCATCTGAATGTTGCAGCAGAAATCGAGACTCATCAGACCAGGCAACATTTTTCCCAATCTCCTATTGTCCAGTGTTGCTGAGCCCATTTCCTGTTATTACTGACAGCAAATGTACTGTTTATAAAATTTGGGGAAACCTGCAGTCAGCTGAGACTGAAGAAGTCACTTGGATGAGTAACGAAACGTTTCTCCCACAAAACGCTACGACCAGATGAACAGAATCAACTTTTGGAGATTACTGACAGGAGTGACACCCAGTGTGGTCTTCTGCTGCTGTAGCCCATCTGCTTCAAAGTTCATCGTGGTGTGCATTCAGAGATGCTCTTCTGCATACCTTGGTTGTAATTAGTGGTTATTTACATTACCGTTGCCGTGCCCAGCTTGAAGCAGTCTGTCCATTCTCCTCTGATTCCAGCTGTTTCAGTGGATCAACAGATTCTGAAATACTCAGACAAGACCAGCTTGCACCTACTACCATGTCACGTTCAAAGTCACTAAAATAACCTTTCTTCTTCACTCCGATGCTCAGTTATAACTTCAGCGGGTCATGTGTTCATCTCTCTACGGATACAATTGCTCATACTGATTGATAATGTATGCTAACAAGCAGTTGAAAAGATGTACCTCATGACACAGCTGGTGAGCGTGTATGTGCACTGATTGCTTCAGGGAAATCGGAGAGTTGCAGAGCAGCAGAGCAGCAGAGCAGGCATGGATTCAGATCTCTGGTTTAAGTACACATTAACAGGACAGATGCTTTGATGTGATAGAGCTCCTTTTACTCAGGCTTTGCTCCCAGCATGAATTAATCCTTTTGAACATTGTTTTGTTTTCAGGGCCTCCACAGGCTGAGCTGCTAAGCAGACTGATAGAAAGCTGCCTGGATTCTCACTACAGACTGCTGGTGGTTCAGTAAGTATAAAGTTACGTTCTGTTTTCACTTGTAACTGCTGCGACAAAGAAGCTTCGCATAATAACGGACACATGGTTAGTAGTAAATGAGTAACACTCCTGCTTTTTTATGTTTTGTTTTTAAAGAATGACATTGAAGATTGCATGGAGTGAGGCAGTGCTGTCTATTATCCACAGCTTGCTAGACTCAAAGGTAATCCAGGTGATTATTCATGGGAAAGAGCTGCAAGAGCTGTTAGTCATAATACTCACTGCCACTGAGCCACCTGTTTTGCCTGTTTCCCCCCAACAGCCTGTCTTGAATGAAGAACTTTTCACACAGTTCACAGAACAGCTCGTCAGTCAGGCTCCTCGTTTCACAAAGTCTGTGAAGTTTGCAAAAATGATGCTCACAGTACTCACCAAATACAGCACTGATGTAAGTATGCAGATTGGGATCAGATAACGTCTGTACAGTGGATGAAATGGTGTGTGATAACCTTCTGTGTATAAATGATTGCATTTCCAGGTGACTGCTGCACACAAACACTCCTTGTCCAGCTGCCTGATGTTAAATGAGACCTTCCTGAAGAAGTCTCTACAAGCTGCTTTAAAACGAATCGCAGACACGTGACCTCACCACCTTTTCAACTAATTTACATTAAAAAAAAACCTGTATAAATAAATTAAACTGACAATGAAGAATCTTAATTCACCAGGGCTGATATTATTTTTTATTACTCTGACTGTTCACAGGTCTTACAATAACGATTCCTAAATGCTAATCCTTACACTCCTGAATACAACACACCCATGTATCTAACTCAATCTAGTATTAGGACAAAGTTGATACTGAATTACTGTAACCTGCAGACTTTTATTGGTCAGTCTTTACAAATATTTGCAATTTTTTTTTGCAATATCTCATTTAGCAAACATTATTATTACTTATATGGTATTTATTTTTATAATTATTATAAATTATAACTGGCTCCATTGAGTTGTCTTATACATCTGGTGAGGATGCCTCATGGGGGCTTCCAATTGGATGGTTTCCAGGCATACCCAACTAGAAGGAGACCCTGGGGTAGACCTCAAATTTGTTGCATGTATTTCTTGTCTTCAGACCTGGGGATGCCTCAGAATCCCCGTGTGGAAGTGGAAAGTGTTGCTGGGAAGAAGGGCCCTGCATAACCTGCTGCCACCACAGCCTGAATTTGGATAAGCAGAAGCTAGGCTGAATGGATGGGTGGATTAGATCATAATGTCAATTAATTGTATTCATTTTCAAAGCCTCAGGGGGTTTTTTTGCAACTTTTTATTTTGAATTTTCATTGTGACAAGAATATAACAAAAATAAAAGGGGAACAAATTGGGGCACTGTTTCAAGCATCATGAATTAAGTGACAGAATCTTCAAGCCTGTGTTTATATTTATGCCGTTTAGTCCAAGTTGTTGAAAAAGATGACATTTAAGTCGTAGAAAGAAAGTCAGTCTCTCCATCAGATGTTTTTCCTCTATAATCTCTAGCACTTGCTCTACTCGGGAAGGATCCTTCTTAAGGATTTTCCTTGTTATGGCCTTTTCAAATGCGATCAACGGGATTTAAAAAATATATCTTTCCTTTTTTAGAATCAAATCACTGGGTAGCAAACCCAGTAGGAAGATCCTGGGATCCTTAGGGATGCATAGGACATGATGTCATCTGTTAACTTGGATATACTGTCCCAAAATGAGGTCAATTGTGTACACGTCCAAAAAATATGAGAGTGATTGGCATTCGGGTGACTACACTGTCTCAAAGCCTCCATTTTTTTAAAGGTTAAAAAAAGTTATTCAAATTTCGGGGTTCCCAAAAAATGTCTTACAGCGCCTCAAAATCTATTAATACACACCTCATAATTCAGTAGCTTCTAGAACCACCTGTAGCAGCAATAACTTGAAGTCTTTCTGCTTTGTTTTGCTTTATCAGAATCGCATATTGTGGAGGAATACTGACCCACTGTTTTTTTTGTTTGTTTTTTAAAGTTGCTTCACTTCATTGAGCTCTCTTAAAATCCTGCCACAGCATCTCAATCAGGTTGAAGTTTGGACTTTGACTGGGCCATTGCAACATCTTGACTCTTTTTCAGTCATTCTGTTACAGATTAGCTGATGTGTTTAGGCTCATTGTTCTGTCACATGACCCAATTTGTGACAAGCTTTAGCTGTCAGACCAATGGCCTCGCATTTAACTCTAGAATACTTTGGTATACAGAGAAGTTCATTGTCGATTCAATGACTGCAAGGTGCCCAGGCTCCTGTGGCTGCAAAACAAGCACAGATCATCACTCCACCAGTTGGTATGAGGTGTTTGTGCCGATATGTTGTTTGGTTTAACATACCTAAATGCTCCACACAAGCAAACTGATTTATAAGGGAGTTCAAGCAAATGCATCTGATTAACAGCACTTGGTTGTCATTTACACTCTTTATCCTTATAGAAATTGTCAGGGATTTTTCACAGGACTATCATTTTGGAACAAAAAAAAGTACCTGAAACAGCCAGAGCTCAACTTTTGATATTATAATTTACAACAGCATAAAAACTGTAATGACAAAGTTTGACAAAGACAGCTGAATTATGTAGATATTATGTAACTATTTAGCTTTATAAGTAGGTAAGAATCTTTCTGTAGTTTTACAGGTATTTTATTTTTATGTATGTGTTTCTTCACAGGCACACCTTTTTCAATTACTACTAAACAGATATTTTTATGCTTGCTGTTTTATGATATAGATTTTGTTGATTTCTATTGGGGGGAAAAGAAAAAAGCTCGCGCTTTCCGATGACGTCACGGATCGCCTTTATGTCGCGTAACGTACGACGTCACTTCCTTTTCCAGCGTAGCACGACGAGAGCGACGAGCTACCAAGATGAGGTCAGGCCGCATTTTTCCCAATAAATGATTAAAAACCTCATTTTAAACGCGCTTTTCTCTACTGTGTTATTCTTCTAGATACGTAGAGTCGTAATATTGTCCGGCTTTGTTTGTATTTCATGGTATGTTGTAGTTTATTGACGTTAAAGGTGCGGCATGGGACCGGTTCATCGCCGGTGCACCGTCAGCGCGCTAAGTTTCTCAAATGTAATCCGTCGTCATCCGCGTATTTAAAATGCATTTACAGTCTTCATCTAATCTCTGCTGTTTAGTTTAATGCTCTTAAATAACCGGCACATATTTTTTTCACGACTTTTGTGGCTGCTTGGTGAATTTTTAGCGCTGTGCTTTAGCATCATTAGCCGTCTTATTTCTCTTGGTGGCATTTCTAGTGACGTTAACTTTTTTCCTGACGTTTTCTACATTACAGTAAGGTCTCCAGGGATACTTTATATGAAGCCGTGAAGGAGGTCCTGCAGGGCTCCGTGGCCAAGCCGAGGAAGTAAGCAGATCCGAACAGCTGTGATAACCAATGGTTAAAGTGTAATACTGAAAATACCGGACATGTGTGTAACCTGTCATCTCTTTGTAGGTTTGTGGAGTCGGTGGAGCTTCAGATCAGCCTGAAAAACTATGATCCCCAGAAGGACAAGCGTTTCTCCGGCACTGTCAGGTTCGACCTTTTACTGTCTCACCCACCCTTTTCCCTGTGCGTCTCCAGCCCTGTCTGATTATCACAGCGGCCTGTTTAACGGCCATGTAGTACATTAAAAATCAAAGTCCAGACAGGCCAGGAGCAGACATGGAGAAGTACTCTGGGTAGTCTGACTGAGCTTACTCAGCTTTCTGCTGGGGAAGGCGAAGCAGGCGGACCCCAACCCTGGGTCTTAAAACATGAGGGGAGGCTTTGAGTGGCTGAGCTGCTAAGTTCACGCCCTCATGCCGACCAATTTGCTTTGTATTACCTAAGAGGTCAGCTGGACGCCAGCCCCTGTGGTGGTATGGGTAAGACTTTTTCTACTCCACAGTAAAGTCAGGTGGTCTCATAAAGGGTCAAATCATATCATCACATGTTGAATGAGTTGATTATTTCTCAGAGGTTGAAATGTGGTTGTGAGCACAGTCACTAAAAATGTTTTGTTGACATGCAGGCTGAAGACTCTCCCCAGGCCAAAGTTCTCCGTGTGCATCCTGGGAGACCAGCAGCACTGCGACGAGGCCAAAGCTGCCGACATGCCACACATGGACATCGAGGCTCTGAAGAAGCTCAACAAGAACAAGAAGCTGGTCAAGAAGCTCGGTAAGGTGTCCACAAGATTACAAACTGCCTCATCTGTGACCAAAGTCTGTCAAGGCTTCCTAACGTGCTTGTTTCTTCCTCTTCCAGCCAAGAAGTATGATGCTTTCCTGGCCTCTGAGTCTCTGATCAAGCAGATCCCTCGTATCCTGGGTCCTGGGCTGAACAAGGCCGGCAAGTTCCCCTCACTGCTCACCCACAATGAGAACCTGAACACAAAGGTGGATGAAGTCAAGTCCACCATCAAATTCCAGATGAAGAAGGTGTGTTCTGCTGCTTCCTGGCTTTATGGTTTCATTATCTAACACTTGGTTTGAAGAAGTTGATCAGTGTGGAGTAACCTTGCTGCTCGTTGCAGGTGCTTTGTCTGGCTGTGGCCGTAGGACATGTGAAGATGACAGAAGACGAACTTGTGTACAACATCCACCTGGCTGTCAACTTCCTGGTGTCGCTGCTGAAGAAGAACTGGCAGAACGTGCGTGCCCTCTACGTCAAGAGCACCATGGGCAAACCCCAGCGCCTCTACTAAATACAGTTTTTCTATTAATAAAAGTGGAGATTCTCCAAAGTCGGCTGCTCTGAGTGATTTATTTTTTTAGATTTCATTACTGAGGTCTTGTATCACTAACTGATAATCTGAAGTTCACTTATGTGTAACTGTGTAATACATAGTTACATAACTCTGTTAACTTTAGTCTGTATAATGTAGTGAAATTCAGGTTTTGGGAGAAATTACAGGAAGGGCCTCAGGTTTTCATGCCTCATTCTACCATTAAGCTTCTTCCCTCAACATGCACCCTTCTATGAACACATCAGGGCCAACTCAGGGCTCAGCGGGAATACCAGAGTGCCCTGGGATTGAACCACCAACCCAGTCCAGTGAGCCTGGGTATTCATCCCAAATATTTGGTGCATGGCCATTAGGTGTCTCTGTTGGTCTGCTTTGGCGTGCATTAGCTGGACCTCAAGATGTTTGTTGTCATTTCGTATGGACACAGCCTAAAATGAAACACTTTTTCTCACCAGCCTCTACAGTGCAAAAAGCTTGAACTGTCCTCCAATGGCCTTGGATAAATAAAGGTCTAATATTCGACTGATGCAGATCACAAATGTGTATGTAGAGTGAAAAACGGGAAGCAGAGTGTTAATAAGATCTACGGTTCCTGATCTATGTAATCCCCTCATGGGACCCCTGTACCCTTGTGTCCTGTCCTGCTGAAACCTTTAAAACCTAATTATTTATTCATGAGATTAAGTGAACAAGCTACTCCCTTTGCTTCTACAAGAATATAGAGTGTAGTATAACATGGTGTATTATATAGTATGGATGCAGGGTGAACTGTGGAATTGGTGCATTTGATTTATTAACTGGTACAACACTAGTTTTAATTTACCACATACAAAAACACAGCTTCCCATGAGCCTCTTGGGCCAGTCGTCCTATTCTGGTCTGACTGTGGATCTCTTAATAGGATTATCTATTCTCAGGACTGGAGAAAGGCTGAGGAGCAAATGAGCCAAACACTGACCCGTGAGAATATGTTTGTGCTTTCACAAATGATGAAGAGTCCACTGTGAACTCTGAAGTGAATCTGAATACTGTAATCAGGCTTTCTCTGACATTTGGATTAACTCTGGTGAAAGAGGCTGACGCAGTAATGAGCGCTGAGGTGAGTCTAACCAGCTGTCCTACCCGTTCCTTTAATCAGTCATTTAACACCTCGGAGGGCTGATAATGTCTTTCAAATATTTTCAGCCAGAGGCAGAGATAAGCAGCTACAACCTGCCCAACATGCCAGACAGTGACGACAGCGGAGAAGGTTAATGGCTTAAGAATAATAATTTTTTTAAAAGGTCTCGAAACAAAAGTTTCTAAATCAGTTTGAACTTTTTAACAGAAACTAGCCAAGAGGAGCCGCCAATCGCAAGCTGGAGTGAGCTGCCCATCATAGAGCGCGTTGGCCTCAATAGGTGACATTCATACGTACAAATACAACCAAATGATAACCGCCAGATTTAATTAGAAGTGATATCAAACTGTCAGACTTCTTGTTTCCTAACAGTGTAGAGATGTCAGAGAAGGATTTGGAGGTAAGTAGTCTACACTTCCCCTTCATTAAATCCATTCAGTAGGTTTTAAACTTTGTTTTTTAATGTGCTGCACTTGAAAATTTACATACAGGATTATTTGATTATAAGTTCAAGATTTTTGTATTTCTGAACAGCTACGGTTTCATTAAAGTTTATTTATCCTTAAATCTCAACAGCAGGCAGAGCCACAGGTATCTGAAATGCAGGAGGACGCTGAGAACTTGAATGAAGTTGTTATATTTTTGTTTCTTCTCCTAGACAGCTTTCTCTCAGATCGCCTTGTCTCTCCGCTGTGATCAGTACACCCTGAAGCAGAGGCTGCAGGCGGAGGAGCACGCCCGTAACCTGGCTGAGGAGAACATCCAGCTAGAGCTGAGCAGAGGCAGGGAGACCCTGGAGGTACTGTACGTAGCAGGCTATTATCTGTAGTGAGTCCTTTTGGTCCCAGCAGGCTGCAAATACAAGTGTGATCCTGTGGGATTTCAGATACTGAAGAGCCTGTGTTTGGACAACAAGCGCAGCGAGATCCTGCAGAAGCTGGAGCTGTCCCTGGACATCCTCGGAGGCACCGTGGACCGGATCTCTAACACAGCAGAGGTGCTCGGTGCCGTGCATCAGGTACACTATGGGTCAGGCTCAGTTAAAAACAAGTGTTACTGCTATATTGGGACCAGCACTGGGAGTAGGAGATTTCTCTTTATTTCCTGCTTTGTTTAGGAGGCTCGAGTGAGTAGAGCAGTGGAACTCATGGTGGCTCACGTGGAGCGCCTGAGGAAGCGATATGACAGAAATCTAGCTGAGCTGGAAGAAGCCAGAAGGATGATGATGCAGCAGCAGAGCTCCTGCAGAAACATCACAGATCCCAGAGCCTCCACAGGTTTCTGCATCAGTGGTGTGTTTCTTGTCACTTGTCTTCTTCTGCAGTTGTGTGCAAAGTTTGAGTAATTGCTGGATTTATTGTTGTAGATCCAGAGGAAAGTGACAACATAAAGAAAGATACTCAGCAGGTATGCATATTTGGATACTTGTAGCGTCTAATGTAGGTTTAAGCAATCTTTTGAACTTGAATCTGCCTTTTATCTGTGTGTTTGTTTGTTTGTTTTTTAACAAGAAGCACATCCGTAGAAGGGTCTGTGTATCAGTAATTTCCAGCCAAACTCAGGTAAGGGAGGTTTCCTGAATAAACCTTCCTGCTTTTTTCTCATGTTATCAGCCATAAACCACAGGGAGGGTCTTCTTTGTCTCCAGGATAGGAAAAAGCAAGACTCCAGAAAGCGTCTCTCTTCCAGCAAGAAGGCTGTCCCTTTTTGCCCGTCTCCCATGAGCTCAGAGTCCAGCTGCTCTTTCATGAACAAGGACGACAGATACTCAGTGGAGGACAGGTGAACTAGAGCCAACAGGCATATTTTTTGGTATCCTAACTACATGGTAACATTTATCACGAACATGTCTTACTTCAGGCCGCACAATCCAGATGAAACTCCATCAGAAGCTCTTCCAGGACCCGCTCCCATCCTAACCCCAGAGAGCCCCCCATCAAAACCAGTGAACAACAGCAGGACTCTGAACAAAAAGTATGGCACTATTCAGAGGAGGTGGACTAACTGAGAGGCACAACAGCCTGCAGTATTGACCAATTTCTGAAGCGTTTCGTGTCAGTATTGGTTGCTGCTGGCCCTGGGGCCTGTGTCTAGTTTGACAAATACAGCTCTTACTAAAGTCAGCATTAGCAACTTTATCAACAAAAAAGCATCACAAGCTTCAAGAAGTTGGAACTGAGGAAAGTGCTTTTATATTTACAGCTTCTCTCTGGATACTTTGCGGCACAGACACAGGGGCAAAGCAGTCTTATCCAACAAAGGAAGGGAGAAAAAGATGGCAAATATCTGCAGACGGATCTCCACAGTGGGGACGTAAGTGGACACGTCATGTTTGTTCTTTTTCAAAAGTGTATTATTTCTGATAACTTTGGATAAACACTGACCGACTGCTCTCTTCAGGTGGAGGCAACATCCTCTGACTCACTGGCTGCAGCGCTGCCGGCTGGTTCTCCTGTGCACGTTTGTGATTTTCTGTGTCGTAACACTGAGTTACTTCTTGTGGTAGTTTCATGAAACACAGTCATCAGTGCTTCACGTGAATTAGTGTGTCGACAATTGAAGGCTATTTGTAAACAAACATAAAATGGTTTTTGATGCCCTGCTTTTGGTCGTTCATTGTGTTTGTCACAGGGAATCACACATTTTGGTAACATCCATCCATTTTCTGCTGCTCATCCAGTTCAGCTGTCATAAATATGGGCTCAAATTGTGGTCATAAATATTTTGTACTTGTAAATCAGGATTTGTGTGTGTAAAAATAATTTGTGTGTGCGTAAAAAAGATTTGTGTGTGGACTTAGCCAAAAAGTACGTGTGAAACTCTGCACTCAAGTTTCAAGTTACAAGTACGAATTTTGACCCTATTTTTCTTCCTTTCAGCTGATTGGTCAATGTCATGTCAATCACAAATTTAACAATCCAATCAGCGAACAGATGGGTTTGGCTGTTTGAGGGGCGCTTTTTTAAACTGCAGGTCCTTGAAGGGTGATACAGTTTGAAGCTGGAGGATCGCTATATAAATGTCCGATAGAAGCTAGGTCCCCGTAACTTTCAGCAGCTGTTGAACGGAAAAAGTTGTGGTATATCAGTGGTTAGAAATACCATTGTTACTTTAGGATTAGTTTAACACAAAGTCAGGGCTGACCCAGGACCACTGCTGTGAGTCACAGTGCTCAGCATAAAGGTCCTTACACATCGGATGCAGCATGTGCTGCTAATGCTAACTAATAGCAAAGGATCCAGAATTAGTTGAGCTGGCTGCTGAGCTCTGTGGGTTTTTGCAGCAGCTCTACCTGTACTAGATGCACCTGCTCCTTGTCGTTTCTATCTCTGACCTTATGTCCTCTACAAGAGTTTCTGTTTGTTTGTTTTTTATCTTCAAATGTTCAATAAAAACATGGATCGTTAATTCATAACGAAGAAAGCTTTGTAACTATCTCCACTAGTGAAGACTGTGTCATTTCCAAAACACTGCCCCCCCCCCCCCCCCGGCAGGCTTGGAGGTCCCTGTATTAAGCACGTAAACCTGTGACACAAAAATCACCAAACTCGGACCACCACAGACTGTTTTCCTTCGTGGTGATGAAGGAAAACGCTGGGCTGGCATGTAAAAGGGCATTTATTCCCTTCAAGGACCTGAAGCTCCATAAAGCACCCCTCCACAGCCAAACCCATCTGTTCTCTGATTGGATAGTTAAATTTGTGATTGACATGACATTGGCCAATCAGATGAAAGGAAGAAAAATGGGGTCAAAATTCGTACTTGTAACTTGAAACTTGAGTGCAGAGTTTCACACAAACCTTTTGGCTAAGTCCACACACAAATTCTTTTTACACACACAAAACTGATTTACAAGTACAAAATATTTATGACCACACTTTGAGCCCATACATAAAGCGAGAGGCAGGATACACTCAGATGGGTCATTTTGGTAATATTTTTATTATAAATATACAAAACATATCAAAACTGATACAACCACTCGGTTAGTAAGAAACACCATACCGCAGTGAAAACTTTCACCAAAATTGCCCTTAAAGGCATCAGTGGTTAATAGGAGTTAATAAGCAAGATTCAAATGTTAAGATTCAGCTCACTTCACATCATTATCAGACAGATTTCACTATGTATATCTACACATATACCTTTAAAAACTCATTGCTGTGCGTGCTTATAGGTGGCGTATCATAGTTTTACTGATAAGTCTATGTTGCAAAAGGGGGGGGGGTCTTTAAATAATAAATATAGAATATAAGTCAAAAATTATATTAGAAATGAGGAAAGCTATTTTAAATCTACTGTGGGTGAACTGCATGTGCAAACTGTGTTCCAGCCACAAAAAAAGGTCTTCAAACAACAGCAAGTTTATGGTCTTTGTTGAAATAAGCTAAGAAACTGTATCAGATTTATTTCACCTCAGATGTATTACCAAATAAATAAAACTGGCATACCACCTTACATTAAACTAATCAGTGATACCAACAGGTCCACGTTTTCTGCATTATGTCAACAAACAATCTCACAGAGAGTCCAAAGACTTAATAAATAAAGGAATGAGTCATCATACTGCAGGGGGTTTTAGGCGTGTCAGCTACACCTGGCTCACAATCTCAGCATCCTCGGCAACAAACCACTGAAGGGGAGTCCCGTCTACAGCCCTCTGGAGAACCACGTTACCTGAACCCTGTGAAAAAAGTCACAAAGCCAGCACATTGTAAATACATTAGATCTCTAATCTAGTTCAGTAAAAAATATTTCATGTTGTTTTCAAGTGAAAATGTGTCAGTTTGCCAGAAATCCCATGGGGCCCAAGCAACCTCTAATCAAAAAACAAGAGAAAGTGATGTATTTGAAAAACAAAAACAAAACCCTAAACCAAAACATAAAAACACAGGCTGTTGGCTCTTAGTTGCTAATGCTACCCAGTCAAATGCAAAGCATTAATGCCATCGTGTGACCCACATATCACTAGGACACAAACGTCAATAAAAGAGCTTTAAATTTAGGTCAGTGTAACGAGTAATACCACAAACTAACCACCACCTACTACCAGTTTAACCTGACTTTTTATATAAATAACGGCACACATACTTTGAATAACTTGAGTACCTTTGCAGTATCCCAGCCCACACTTTTGGAATCACTGATCTAATTTACGAAAGTAACAGCTTCAATGCATTAATATGTTAAGAGTCAAACATATTAATGCATCTTCCGCCGCTGCCTTAACATAGCTGGTGCTTGTACCTACCTGTGCAAAAGGAGGCAGGTGAGGTGAAATGGGGCTCGTAACGCTCTGCTGTTCCCCGCAGCTTGGCAGTAGCTTCTGTAGCTGATTCCTTTGATGCCACGATTTCAGCTCCTCTGATACGACCTCCCGGGGCAGCAGCCTCACGGCGTGGTTTGGGTACTCTTTCAGCGAGGGCGTCCGCACGAGCCTGGTGTAAGGCGGAGGGGGCTTTAAGATGCTTCTCGGTGAAGGTGTCCCCTCCTGCCACTGTCGTTGCTGAGTGCTGCGTGCCACAGTAGAGATGAAGCACTTCCCCATGTCTGGAGCTTGCGGGGAGAGGGGTCCATCTTCCGCCGCTGCCTTAACATAGCTGGTGCTCGCATTTTTGTGCATACTGGGGAAATGAGAGACTCCTTTCTTCTGTGCTCCAAAGTGGAACCCGTAAGGCGGTGGGCAGAGCTTTGGGATCTCAGTCGGCTTCTCCCTGCCAGGAGAGCTAATGCTAGAGGATGACGAGTGCTCTGAGCTGCTGTCCTCAGAGCCGGACTGGTAAGGACGCAGAGGAGAGTACTCCGGGGAGCGCACCATGAAGTCAGCCACGCAGCGTCGCTGGGGCAGCCTAGCTCGACCTCGACTGCTCTCTGAGCTGAAACGCTCCACGTCAGATGGCTTTCTTTTTGGAAGTCTGAGAAGGGATATTGTGTAAAATTTGAAACATTAATACATACAACATTATTGTCTTTAATTCCTCTGATAATACAAATGACTCTGACATAACTTGTCTGTGTACCTGAAGGACTGGGAGTACTGCCGGCGTATGAACAGCTCCGGGGTGGAGGGGGCGCTGGTGGAGCTGCTGTGACGCAGGGCAGAGTTTTTCACAAACTGAGTGAGAGGAATCCTGATGCTCTCTGCAGACACCTGGGCTGCTGCTGGGCTACTGCACACAGGAGACATGACATGAGATATCGCACACATTCAGAAAAAGGAAGCTTTACTATGTGCTAATCCAGCACAAGAAGGCTGACATTGCACCTGATTTCATCTAAGTTCATCTATCAAATGAAAAACTGTAAAATAAGGTACAATCTAGCTTGGAGTATAATAGTGTATTTCACTAGTTGTTAGCATTCTTCAGTCCTTACCTGGACCTGCTGCTGCAGGCAGACGGAGGTTTGGTGGCCTTTTGGTAAGGATGGTCCAGACTGGACTCCTTCCAAGGGGAATTCTGGATGGGAGCGGGCTCGTGCTCCACACTGAGCTCGCTTGAGGACTGGTGCGATGTCTGCACAGTCTGGGCTGACAGCTGAAGGGGATCTGAATATGAAGCGTCCAACACTGGAGGTGAAAGGGGGCTGGATATGTCCACATCTATACAGGATTGGAGAGAACATTAAATAAGGATTTCTAAACGGAAAACAAGTCAGTAGAGTATTCATTATCTTTAAAAATATTTAAATCACATTATTAAAGTGAGTTTTGGAATTTTAAACCCATATTTGTTTTTACACATGACCCGCAATTAATTTCATAAAAAGACATGTAGAATGACTTGCATGTTGAATGTGACACCATGCTCTATCAGAGCTGTCTTTTCTTCTACTGCATATTTAAATGAATGTCATGATAACCTTAAAATCATTCAGCTCACCATCATCCAGCGCCACCACATCGGAGAGTGAGCTGTCATCAGACATGCACAGATCTGCACACAAACGCCAAACATTTTACATTTCCATTAAGTGCACTGCACGTTGCACAGCCTGGCCTGAAGGGGGCAGCAAAGTCACTCACCTTTGTTCTGGCTGCTGACGCTGGGTGAGTTGCACTCACTCTTGATTCTATGCTGGAACACGGCCTGCTGCAGTTCCTTCACTTTCTTCTCCTCCCTCTTGCACTGCTGCAGCCGGCCCTTCTTCTGTGGCTTACTGAGGTTCTCCTCAAGCGAGAGTTTGCGGGCTGCCTCAAAAATCTGCCGCTGAAGGGCCAATTCAGTTTCCAGCGCTTGCAACTCCGAGTCCTAAAAAAAGACAAACTCTGACCTTACATCTCAGCTGATGTGCTGACTCTTTCCACTAACACTTAACACTGATGGTGGTTTGTACCTGTTTATCTAGATGGATCAGACCTTCATCCAGCTTGAATGAAGCACCAATTCTCCTCCGAACACGTGGTGGCTTCTCATCTGGCATCATTGGATAGTCTGAGGACAGTACACCTGTCAGCTCCTGTGAGGACAAAACAAAAGTATTGTTATGATGAAAAACGAAGCAATCTTCAATACTGATTTAAAGCTTTAATCCAGGAGTCACTTACTGCCTCCCTGATGCAGAGTTTTCGGAGCTCCAGCAGGCAGATCTCCAAACGCTCCTCCAGAGATTGGTGCTTCAGCTTCAGGGCTCTGGTGTGGGTGGTGAGGTCCTTCACTGGGGACGTGGGGCTGTCGGGACCTGCAAAAACACACACAAAATCAGGCTTTACCTGC